GGATAAACCACTATTTTAAATTTTTAAATCAGAGGTTCAGAAATGCCTAAAAACTATTCCTAATCTGATTTTTTTTTTTTTTTGTTATTTTTTTTTTTTTTTTTTTAAGGTTTAAAGAGACTAGTCACCTGAAACTTCACAAGCCCCACCCACACGAGTTCCTTTCCATCATCCGTCTGCAAACAAACCCAGAGGCTCCTCACCCACTCTCTGTCTCTGTCTCTCACCCGTGGAGACCTGAGGTACTCATCAGTTCCGCTCATAACCCGGGCGCTATGAGTCTGGGAGAAGAGCTGTGTTATAAAGCACATAAGATGGAAGTGGAGGAAGACTTTTACTCTTACGAGTTGAGTAATGCTGAAGGTCTGCGGGTGTATAAGGACAGCGAGGAGCTGTTCGCAGCGCTTCGGCAGAAGGAGGATGAGGTTCTTCTGGCAGCTCAGGTGGGCAAGGCTCTGCTGCTGGAGAACAGACAGCTGAAGCAGGAGACAGACGCGCTTCACCACAAATACACGCAGCAGCTGGAGGTGAGCGACGCGGGGAGAGTCAGAATATTAATAACATAAAGCCTAATATTCATTTTTAAACCTATGTCTCTATATCTGTATGGTATTATATTGCATGTCTAATACTTTATGCACAGTGGTCCTGACATGTTTTTGAACACTTAAGGCCGTTCAAAGGCATTTAAATGTAAATGATCGTATTTCTCAAAACTAATTTTACTTTTATGTAACAGGTGTCTTGATATTTTTAGCGGCTTAGTCAGTTTCCATCAGGTTCACGCAGGTGTTTACAATCTCTGTTGAATTATAACTATAAACTCAACACTTGGAGAGAAAAAAAAAAAGTTTTTTTCTTTGAACAGTGAGCTTTTTATAACGCAAATGGCACTTGCTTTGATTTTTTATCGAATACAATCAGACATTTTTACTTTTAAAGGCATATTTTAGGCAGGTATTCAAAATTTAATGCAACAGTAAATTTAACTGCTCCTTTAAAGGGGGAAAAGTGTTATTTTCATAGTTTTAGCATTTTCATATAAGATCCGAAATGGGAACAGGTTTTTCATGTTGGTGTTTTCTCTCATTTAATTATTTACAATTAATTAAAAAGTTGTATGACTTTGAATATCAAATATGTTACCATAAAGGAATAGGTCACCCGGAAAATTGTAATTCTGTTATTATTTACTCCCCCTCATGTTGTTTCATACACTATGCCTTTTCTGACATCTGTGGAAATCAGGGGTCAGTTGCATAAACATAGCCTAGTTCTGTCTTAAGTACTAGTTTGACTAACTAACAGTTAACAAAGTAGTAATCAGTCTTAATTTTCAACTTCAGATTAGACTAATCTACATTTTAATGTAATTTGCCTAAAAAGTTATGACCACTTTTGTGAAAAATAAATAAATAATATATATATATTAGTGCTGTCAAACGATTAATCGCGATTAATTGCATCCAAATATAAAAGTTTTTCTTTACATAATATATGTGTACTGTGTATATTTATTATGTATATATAAATACACACACACGCATGTGTATATTTAAGAAAAATATGTTACATTTCTATATTAAATATATTTATATTTAATATAAATTATACAAATATAAATATATACATGTAAATATTTTCTAAATATATACTGTATGTGTGGGTATTTATATATACATAATAAATATACACAGTACACATATATTATGTAAAGAAAAACTTTTATTTTGGATGTGATTAATCGCGATTA